AAGGAATACCTGAACGATGCTCCTTCCTGGAACTTGCTACTGTGTTCGCTGGAAGATTACTTGTCCAGTTTGGTAACACTTTGCAAAATACTATTTGATGTATCCTCTCAGAACTAACAATCTGAACTAATGGAGATTGTTCACTTTTCATTTTCATTTAGTCGAAGATTTATCGTTTGAATTTACCACCTTTTTAATAGTAGTCTGTCGAGGTCAGTTTTGGCATGGAAAGTGGTGACATTGGTGTCGGGTGTCGTGATGGCGGAACGATTTTGTTTGCCGGCCTCGTGTCGCTCAGGAAAATTCTATTTAGCAAATAAGATCGTATCACCGTGCACGATATCGTTTCGCGTGACAGCTCGAGTAAAGTGTTCCCGGATATTTGACCGAACGCCCCTCTTTTGTACACCTTTTGTACCCGTAATGCGACATATCGACATTTACAACCATAACATCAACCTTTTCTAATCTTTTTAACCCTTTCGATGTACTTGTTGAAAAATATTCGAATTAGTAAATATGGAATAATTATAATGATTCTGAACACGATTTCTTCAATTTGCAATTCGACATTTACAACTATAACATTACCCTTTTCTAATGTTTTTAACCCTTTCGATGTACTTGTTGAAAAATACTCGAATTAGTAAATGTGGAATAATTATAATGATTTTGAACACGATTTCTTCAATTTGCAATTCGACATTTACAACCATAACATTACCCTTTTCTAATGTTTTTAACCCTTTCGATGTACTTGTTGAAAAATATTCGAATTAGTAAATATGGAATAATTATAATGATTCTGAACACGATTTCTTCAATTTGCAATTCGACATTTACAACCATAACATTACCCTTTTCTAATGTTTTTAACCCTTTCGATGTACTTGTTGTTGAAAAGTATTTGAAATATTAAATATGGAACGATTTAATTATAATGATTTTGAACACGATCTTTTCAATTTGCAATTCAACCCTTTGGAAATAGATAATGAAATAAAGAAGAAGGTAAAAAAATATGAGATATTAAGGTTTTAAACCCATCGTACGCAGTATTGACACTTTTAACAATTCCCATAACAATCATTCTGGATAGGTATCATTGTTTTGTTTAACCTTTGAGCAGCGGAGCTTGGGTCATTCGTGACCCAAACTTACAAAACGAATACAAGGGTATTATCCTAAAGTTAAATGTATAATTTTTAAATGAAAGGGTTTTAAATATTGAAGGAATAATTTTTAAAGAAACAGTGTTAAATTTAGAAAATGAAATACAAAAGTGAATTAAAATTAGGGCTCTCTACATGGTCCGCCATGCAAGGGTTAACAAATCTGAGGTTTTAACTTTTCACCATAATAGAAAGTTTCTACGAATGCTTCTTAAAATAAAATTTGCTTCGGTTTATTTTGTGAGTTTTAAAAATACAAAACGAGTAAATTATACTACAATAATCATAGTGTTACTATATCAAAGGATATTTGAAATATTTGCGTTTTGATTATGATAAATAATAATAGATAGTGAAATGACAAATTAAGTATTTTATGCATTAGATATTTTCTTATCCGATATTTTATACTGTTTTTATACAGACAGTGAAAATATTTGTTCAAATATTCAGTACATTTATGTATGAATAATAATGAGACGCTTTCAAAATTCATATCGTCATCAATTATTGAACTTTCCTTCAATATAAAATTTACAATTTGCTGTTGCTGTTATCACCAACACTGTTACCATCCTCATTATTATCATCACACCAAAAGTACAATGTACATCATGTAATCAAACACTTCAAGAATTCCAATGAATATCCAAACACCTTGTAACAACAAATGACACGTTATAAAATACTTGAGAATTATTATTAATCGTTCAAATTTGTTTCGTTTGCAGACATTCGATGTAAAATCGACCAAATATTAAATCCACAGAGAAATTTATTGTTCTGTGCAATCTTATTCGAAGTTACAGAATCGCAACGTTTTAGGATCACCAACGAACGAAATAAATTTAGAAATGCATGTGTGAAATATGGAAATGAAGGAGGAAAGTTTCGTTAAAAAACAAATATCAATAGGTTATTTCGAACGAAATTTCGTATGATTTCGGTTGAATAAATTCCATTCGGTTTATTTCAAATAAAATTCAATCTGTTCGTTTCGTACCGGTGAAATGAGTTGAAAATACAGACCTACGAAATATTATTTTCCTTGTTGATATATTAAAAAAACAGAAATGATGCTGTTATTGGAAATCTAAAGGATATTAATAATTATTATATTACTCTGATTCTATTGATTTTAATCATTTATATTAATTATGAAATTATATATTCTTTTTTTCTAATTCATACTTATTAAATGAAATCGAAAAAATATCAATTTTTTAACAAGTACAAATGGCAACTTGTGACACTGTCCACGAAATTCATCTTCTATCTTAAACTATTCGAGTGGCTATCGAAATCACTGATCAAAAAGCTCCTTCAAGCAGTGGAAAACAGATTCAATGGAGCAGATTCATCGTGTTCCCACAGAAACTTGTCTCAAACTCATCCCTAAAACCAGCTAAATTCCGTTCCAGCGAAGTGAATCGCTGACCAAACCTCGAACAGATTTTCATGGAAACCTTCTCCGAGACTCTCTTAATCGACATCGATCGATCTGCTAACGACCCTTCTATTCCATCGGCAATTAATCGTGGTAATCGAGCTATTTGCAGTTGCGATAAGAAAATGAGAAAAAGAGGAAGGTCATTAATTTCTCTAGTTTGAATCGATCGAAATTAAAAACCTTTTGCAATGAGGATATACCACACTTGTACTATAAGAAACAAAAGGTTCTACCTAGAGATAGAAGTGCAAAATTTTGTATATTTATTCATTTAGCATAATATTTTATGTTTCATTGTGATAATACAATGAAAGAAAAAGTAAATTATCAGTATTAAAAAATATATATATTTATATCATTATTAGAATTGATTATCAATTTCACATGCCAGTTGGCAATTAGCAAATTATCAGTTATCACTTGAGCCGCCCATAAAAAAAATAAAAAAGAAGAGAAATTGATGCAATATATAAAATTAAGCACCAATCATGTATTTTCATGCTAAAATTTGAAACAATTCAATAAGCGGAGAGTTAATCACTTTGGCCTATAAATGGCTCAATTATCAACTATCAAATGCTAATTAAGAATGTTCCCTCAACAATGTGGACTAATCCCCTTACCATTTTCAAATTATAAAATTCTAATGGTATAATGTACACAATTATTAATCCCTGAATAATGATTAACCCTTTTTCTAAAAATGTAGAACATATAATATAATACGCTTTTTGCATTGTAAACTATAATTTATATAAGTGGAGCCTTTGTCAATCGTGACGCACATTAACAAAACATATGCAAAGATATTAACCTAAAGTTAAATGTATAATAAAAAAAAAGAAAATAATATGAGATACAAAATTAAATTAAAATTGTATCTCTCTCCACAGTCCGACGTCTTAGGGTTTTCTCTATGGTCCGCCATCCGAAGGTTAAAAAACGCATTATATTATACCTTTTACTGTTTTAAAAAAAGGATACAGTCAGTAACTATATGCGTTAATATTTTTAAAAATTCCAAAAGTGGGTCTAATCACTCTGGCATGTGAATGGTTCAATTATCAACTACCAAGTACCAATTACCAACTACCAACTACCAATCTTAATTAGGATCCTTGGTATACACTTGCTGAATTCTGAACAGAGTAATTAATTCGCAGATAGGCGATCTAATGAGTTTCATTTGAATAATGTATTCATTATCAGCAATAGAAAGATATATATTATAAAATCGAGACGGTCTAATTGGAGACTTCAATCCATATTGCTCCATATATAAATGCTTCTAAAATTAAATCCTGAATCTAATCTAATTATCGACAAATACGAACTAAAATATTATATTGACTTTTTGATAGGCAACGTTTGAATGAAATTTTGAAAGGTCATCAGGTGTCAATTTGAAATAAATAATTTGAAGAGGCTCGAATCGAAATGTCATCGGCATAATCTTGAACACAGCAATTAAATAGCAGGAATTTCAGCTTGGCTCAATCGCACAGCTTCCAATAACACGTACACAAACAGTATGTACACAACTGTCTGTCCTAAACGGCCCGATTACACTCGTCAATACCTATCGTTTGAATCCTGTATACAGTGACTAAATCAGGGATATTTAGACTTGGTTCTATTAATTTCAATAATAGATTCATAATCGACAACGCCGCCTCGATCGTAAACTCAAAAATTAGTAGGTCTCGCTATCTTCGTGCAATAAAGTAATTAATGAAAGAACAAAGACTAGTTATCGCGAAAATTAACCAATTGTGTTGTTAATCATTGTAAAATTGAATCTCCAAAAGTCCTTGTAACTCGTACCATCCGATTTCGACTAACAACTTCGAAACAAACATGAATATTGTAACATGATTGTAAATAAATCTGTTTTCGAACATAACAATGAAATTATATAATTTTATCGTATAATCGCGGTTCTGAATCCGTGCAATCAAATCACAAGTATCCGATCTCATTAAGCTGCGCTGTTTCCAGATAACTGATTCACGATGCATAACACGTGTGTTGACAGTAGAGATTCAAATAACAATTCCGTTGGGAATCGTTTGATTTTTCCATCTAACTATACACGACAAAACATTTTCTATTTTCTTAATCAATTAGTGAAAATTTTCTTTCATTTAGACTCTCTCCAGGGTCCGCTGTCTTGAGGCCCTCTCCATGGTCCGCCGTTAATAAACATTTTAAAAAACATTTCAATCAAAAGGGTGGGAATTAAAGAGACAGCAATATAACGGGTGGATACGAAATATGCATCCCACCCCTTTAAAATTAATACACTACTTTTTATAAATATATAAAGCTCGATTAAACAAATTTAAACCTCACAGTAAATTCTTAAATAATTTCCTTACCAAGCGATCCACGGATGAAACCCAGCCACAGGCTTCACTTTTTCCACACTATACTTCACACGCGTGTTCCCTCGCCATTCACGACCAGCGTCGTTACGCAGCGCGTCTCGACGCTGCCCACCTATCGACTAGGACCACCGAGTACACTGGACGCCTCATCTCCACACCACACGACACTTATTAAGAAACTGTTATTCCAAGAGCAATTATCCTTCAATCGATGCACTCGTTTATTTCCGACACCACGGGATCCACGCGTTCCCCAAACGGCATGGATATTGTTGACGTTTCGGTGTTCACCAAAATGGGCTTGAAAACACACGCAACGAGAAAATACACTGGTTCTATTTTATTAACGTGGACACTGGTTTCGTTATCTTCTTTCGTATGATACCTCAGGGATGATCACTGTCGTCAAAGGACAACGTTTCAAGTAGAAGAAACACACGCGTGATTGACACTGCTCCCAGCATGGCGAGTGAGCCGCGACTGAACCGACTCGGGATACGTCGGGTTTGAATGAGCGTGGCTGCGCGACGAAGACGGACGAAGACGAACGAAGTAGGGCGAGTAAGACGGCCGGGGTGGGGGTAGGTGAACGTGCGAGAGAGAGAGAGAGAGAGGGAAACCTCATTGGGGTTGAAAAAAAGTACTTATTTAAAAATTTATTCAAGAAAAACGACTTCATAAATTGAACTGCTTCTTTTTTTAGTAGGAAAAGGATGTGTCGTAGAATATTCTGAAGGATTGTTAAGATTCTGTGTAAACTCATTTCGAGGGTAAATTAATTTTTATACATGAATGCACTCCGAATGCACCTGAATGCATTTGCACTATAAGCGGGTGTTGTCTGATATGGGTCCCATGCATATTAGAGTGCCATATAACAATAAATGACGTACACAATCATACACGCAAAAAAAAATTTTATTCAATTATACAAATACCAAAGGCCAATTATACAATAATAATTAATAATTAATAATAATAATAATAATAATAGGTTTAGCTTAAGGTTAGGGTTAGGTTTAGGTTTATGGGACCCATATCAGACAATCCCCGAGTCCCATAAACCTCAACCTAACCCTAACCCTAACCTAAACCTATTATTGTTATATGGCACCCCTATACGCATTCAGGTTCCCACTGGAGTCAGATTTGAAAATGAATAGAATTCTATTTTATTAAGACTAATTTGTAAGTGTTAAAAAATTAATAAAATCACTGAGAATAAGTTTCTTTTTTTAATAAATCTGATTATTTTATAATTTCATTTAACGAAGCATAAAGTAAACAGGAAAAAGATGGAAAAGAGAGATATCGTAAAACGTCGAGTAATATTGTGTTGCAATTAAGCAAACATGGGGTAGGTGCAAATAATTAAGGAAAAAAGTAATAATCATCTTGATAATACTACTGGAATATACAGCGTATGTGAGAATAACCAACAATGAAACGACATAATGATAAAAATAATAAAGATAAAAGAGAAACCTGCATTAGCTCGAATAAAGAAGAAAAAAAGACAAATAATTAATTTGTAAAAAAGAGAAAAGTTGGGAATAAAGGAAAGAAATATATATCGTTGCAATAAGGATAGAATTAATGAAACTAGCTGCAATGGAAACGGCAAGATAAAGAGGAATTTATTAGGATGGGAAACGCCCTTAACGAGAACGAAAGAAAGGAAATAAATTTGATCGGACCAAAGAGGACGGTAATCTGAAAAGAGTAGGAAAAGAAGGAGACGTGGAATTACCAGGATTTAAAGGTAGTAACAATCCACGTAAGAGAAGAAGTATGGCTAAGAAGAGGAAGTGTGTATTTCAAAAGAAGGATTCGAAATGGTCTACATAAATTAGAAAGAAAGCTGCGAAGGAAAAATTAAAGCACGCAGAGTTAAATGCCTGAGGAGAATAATAAAACTTGGAAGTACGATGTAAAAGAAGCTATAATTTCAGAATGAATGAATTTCCCTTATTGAAGTCAGGAAATTTTCCAAGGAACGATGGAATGAAGCCTTTTGAAATTCGTTTTAGAAGAAGAATAATGAAAATAGGTAATTCGTTATCGAGCGATGGAAATGAAAACAATTCACTCCCCCAAAATACTCTGAATAGATTGAAATGGATAAGAAACGTCGGGTTACGTGGAGAAAGAATTGGAAGGTACTTATTTCAGAAAAACGTTCGATTATCGAGATTCCCATAATAGATGTACTTGTAACGACACTCAATCCCCCATGACGTGCATTATTGTGCGGCTTTACTGAGCTCACCCTGAAAAGCCCACGACATCGATACACATGCATGACTGGAAACCGATCTCACACGGAAACTTTTTAAAGTGACTGGCTCTATTATGGCGAGAGAGAATTATACGATACCAGCTGAGAGTCTGTTCAGAAGTTCTTGCTATCTGTACAGCGTCCATTCTGCTCTAGATTCTACAACACTGAAGCTGATGATAATATGAAAAAGTTTAAATATTTAAAAAAGTTTATAGAAATGGTATTATGAAAAGTATTTGAAAGAAAAATTAAAATAAAAATTCTTTTGAGTTAGAGTCACTTGGGGAGAATCACCCTTGTGGGTATTGTAATATTTATACATGATTTTAGAAAAAATTGATTTGGGAGTTACAGAGTGGATAACTTGCCAAAGTGACAACGAAGGTTACTCTCCCTTCGAGATATATTTTTTTCATCGATGGGCATTCGAGTTTACAGGGTAAGTCACCCTCTGGAGATTGACAACCCCAAGGTTATATAGGAAACTGTTAAAGATAAACATGTACTTTAAATTGCAAAGTTGTACTGTTCTTTCTATATAATAATGTGACAAGGATGGTTTTGTTTTTGACGTAACTAGAATTTTCTTCTGGGGTGGGCCAGATCCACAAAATATTAGAATATTAAAATATTAGAATTTTGAACCATTAGAATTTTGGAGCATTAGAATCTTGAAGCATTAGAATGTTGGAGTATTAGAATTTTGAAACATTAGAATTTTGGAGCATTAGAATGTTGAAGCATTAGAATCTTGGAGTATTAGAATATTGGATCATTAGAATTTTTGAATCATTAGAACTAGAGAACATTAGAAATTAGAATGTTGTAGTATTAGAATGTTAGAGCATTAGAATTTTTGAGCATTAGAACGTTGGAGCATTAGAATTCTGGAACATTAAAATGTTGAAGCATTAGAATATTGACGTATTAGAATTATAGAGTATTAGAATTTCAGAATATCAGAATATCAGAATATCAGAATATCAGTATTTTAAAATGGTAAAGGGGTCAGTCCACATTTTTTAGAGGAGGCCCACCTTACGTCGCATCGCTTAAATTTCATAACTAATAAATTCCACACTGCATAATATAAAATTCTTTATCAACAATCGCAATGAATTATCAGACAGAAATATCGAGCGCGTGTCAACGCTGGTTAAATAGATCTCCTATCTACAGATTGTAATTAAGTTTCTCGTAATTACGTTCTCTCGCGAGCTGAATCGCGTCGCGACCGATGCAATTCCCTGTTTCCATTCAACGCGAGCCGAATTAACGACCGGCCCGTCGGCTCTTTTTTATCCTCGATAAACGGCCTCTCCCCCAGATCAACAACGACGACGACGTCGAATTGATAATGGCATCGTCACGCACTGTCCCGTTCCTAGATCAATAAAACGACCGCGGTGCTGTGAATGCAAAACGTTCCATAACCCGTTAGAAATGCTCTTCATTTGGATGCTTTCGCTTAATCGTGACGATTTAGTTAATAACAATCAATATTAGGGGATGTTCATTTATTCACCTCATTTCATAGAACTTTCATTAATTTCTATTAGACAAATATTACTCAAAAATACAATTTTTTTAGCGAACCTTGAACATTTTCCTTAAACATTGACCATTAGAATTAAAGTGATAGCAGAGTTAGGCATTATTTAAAACAATCTTCAGACAGAAATTCCGGCCATACCGAAGACATTGAAGAATAAGAAATAAATTATCATCTCGAATAATTAAAAATTCAATTAGTTATTTAAAAATAACAAGAAAAATCAAATTTTATTTGAAATAAAAAAGAATTTGATTTTATTCGAAGATTTATAAATAAATTTTCATTCGAAAAATAAATTATTTCTGATTTGAAAATATTTGAATCCCCATATATGATGCTCATTATTTAATGAAATAATGCCCAACTCTGATAACGATCCTCCGTTATCACGAAAGGAATCTACACAAATGGTTTGTTATTTGTTAAAATGAAAATCAGCAAAGATCTCGTGATTCTAAACAAGCTTCTTCATCTGTTACCGGACGTAATAGCCAGTCAATCAGAAGTCACGAACGTGTTCATTGTTCGCGAGCCGGGGATGCCTTGGTTGTAACAGTATCGAGGAAAGATAACACGGGCTGCTACTTCTGCGAGTTGGCAATCGGCCGTTGCATCGTGCCAAAACGAGCTTGCGATACGTTCGAGTTTCACCGCGATATATCGATCGGTGTTCCCGTTCGAGGAGCAGACCGTTGTTCCCGCGGATTTCGACGATTTAAGGGTCCCTCGAGTTACGAGGGTGAGTTTAGAAGCGATTCGTTCCACGCTTTACTGCCGGCATTCTTCGAGAATGCGCGAGCATCGTTCAAAGCTGGAATGCTTTTAATTATTGTAACCGCGTTGTTTCAACTCTTGCCACGCCGTCTGGAAATTTAGACGTTAAAATTGCTTAAAATAAACTTTTCCGCCAACGAGATCTACTTTCCTCGTCGAGACATAGTTGGCTGCCAGTTATTGATTCTTTGTGTTTATTTTTCTCTCCTCTCGAAAAAGCCGCAGAAGTACACTTTACGGTCAGTCTATAAATTGTCGTTTTCCGTTCGCACAGTATGAATATTTACGAGGTTGTAGCTTTTTGCTGGCGAAACATTTTCGCCGACCGTGACACGGCAGAACCGAGGCCTATTGACATTAATAAATATCCCTCTGTTGCATGAATTTTTATGACGAGTCGAAAAAAATACATATGGCTTTTAGTCTACTTAAAATAATGAGTGTGGTCATGAAATAAATAATAAAATTTTATTAGAAAATTACGCAACGTTCCCACTTGGAACCGACTCAGAGTCTTCAGTATTGTCTGATTAATTTATTATAGAACATTTGGAATTTAAGTTCCCGATTGGGAACGGAATGCAATAGAGGGATTATGTGATCGTCCTTAAATCGATCTCTGTCGTCGCGAGTCAGTTTAACGAGCGCAATCATGTCTGACCGGATGTAGAAACGAAAAAATAAGGAATTGAAAAAAAAAAACCGGTCTCGATTTGCTGACGATGATTATCGTTTTGCATAATCGCGCGTCACGTTCACGAGCAGAAGATATCGGTACTGTGTGACGCTGACGCGTTAATTGCTATCTCGACGAGGAAATGAAGAAAAGAAAAATAAAGCCGTGAGATTCCTGGCGTGCGTCATTGTTCGATCGATGAAATAATTGA